TGTTAGCTCCATGCTGATGGGAGCTGTGCTGGCTTCACTCACTGGAGGTGAGCACTCTGCAAGCTCAGTTAAACCATTGATACTCCATAGTCTCAAGCAGTGTTTCTTTGATTCTTGTAGTTTGTCTGCACCTTTCTCATGATTTTACTTATTGTTTGTTCCTCTAGGATTTATTGTAGATTTTATTGGGAGACGTCTAGCAATTGTCATCAATTCTGTAGTGTTCCTCGTTGGAGCCATAATGTTGGCATTGGCACCATCATTTGCAGTACTGGTGTGTACCTTAACTTCACATTAGGTTTTCATTCTGATTTTCTGTTGATTGAAATCTGTTGTCTTCAAATAACTTCATTGCTAGTTTTACTAAGTGTGGTTGAAGATTAAAAAAAAAAGGTTGTCAGTCAACACATAATTAAATTCTTTGCAGATTGTTGGCCGTTTCATTGTTGGATTTGGGGTGTCCTTGTCTGCCATTGCGGAGTGCATTTACATCTCTGAGATAGCTCCAGCAGTAAGTTGCAGTCCAGTGGCTGATATTGGTTAAGTGATACACTAACTCTAGTTACACGATGGAGGAGTTTGAAAGCATGCAGATGACTTGAAGTTGATCTGAAATGAAAATGAAAAACTTAATTTAAGTATCAAAGTGTGAGGATGTCAAATATTAAAACAGAAATTGTGATATATACTAGATTTCCTGCCTTAATTTAAATTCTTATGATAGGATTTGTACAGTACTTGATGAATACTTGGGATCTTAAGTCTGGAGTGAACAGAAACTTTTACTAATTGCCATAACTTTGTTTTAATTTGGAATATTATGATGATATGCCGGCACATAGATAGAATAATCCATTCAAATTTCTTTTCTCTATTCTGTACGTTGCCACACATGTGTACCTGAAGCAGTGTACTTAGATGGTGTAAGTAAAATTGTGTTAATCAAAAATTTACCATTCTTTACAGAAAAGGCGTGGCTTGCTGGTGTCACTCAATGAAGTTGGCATCTGTGTTGGTCTTTTGTTGGCTTACTCAGTTAATGTTCTCTTCATTGATTTATCAAATGGTTGGTGAGTTCAATAAAGAATCTCCCATATTCCTTTTGTTCAGCATTAGAGGGCAAATATGATTACAAGGTTTTTACATGACTGGAGATGGGAGGTACATGTATAGGAGGTGTCGTTCATTCAGGGTGTGCCTGTAATAGAGCCTCATCTGCATCTAGGATGGATATTTGTGAATGGCAGAGTAAATTGTTTAAGTGCTCATTCTGAAGTGTAATTTATTGCTATCTTGTTTGTTGAAGGCGCTACATGTTTGGGCTGT